TTGATCACAGTACTCTTCAAACTAACTTCCCAAGAAAAATAAAAAGTCAAGGAAGAAAAACAGAAATAGTTACATAGGCTAGCACATCTAATAACTAATATAAATAACTACTAATTCCTAAATATGACACACTTTAGTACTTCCATCAGGAATCCAGCTCTACCATGAAAATTTCTTAGTAATTAAAACATACTTTTATCATTTTAGCTATACAGTAACTATAATGACCAGAATTGTGAAGATAGAAGTAAAACAGTGAGAAGAACTTTTTACACTTTTAAATAAAAATTTTGCTGAACTACAACATGCAAATACAAAAGTGCTCAAACTGTAAACATTGTGATGACAGTCTACTAACAGAACATATTCACACCAGAAAACAAAAGTACCAGCAGTCTGAAGTCTCTGATGCACCTCCCCTGTTGTCATTCATTGTTCCTTTTTTTTTTTATATCTATTATCAGGGAAGAGTCTGCTTGTTTTAGAACTATATATAATATACTTTATGCTGACTTATCTTGCTCATCATTATTTTATGAAAACTATGAGCTCTATAGGTTCTAACATATGACTATGCCATGATCCACTCATTTACAGCTGATGAGTTTTCAGCTTGTTTCTAGTTTGGAACTCTTATGACCAGTGCTTCTGTGAATAGTCTTACCCATGCCTTACAGAAACTGAGATCTTGCCCTGGTTTGTCTTAAACTCGGTTATCCTCCTGTCTCTGATGGGATCAACAGTGTAAGCCACCATGCCCACTAGGTCTTACTTTTTATTTGTGGTGCTAGAGACTGAGCTCAGGCCTTCTTACCAGTTAAGTGCAAGTTCTACTACTGACACCCATTCCCAAGAGGTATCCAATCAGCCAGTGCCAGAATGTAAAGGGCTTGGAAGGAACTTTTTACCTCCTGCATAGATCAGTAAAGGTAAACAAGGAGATTCCCTGGAGAGTCCTCACCTTTCAGTCCAGCATCACCAGCCTCCCCTCTCCTAATAGCTGCCCTGTTCTCCAGGATCCAGCACCTTCTTCCACATCAACCATGAACCAAAAATGGAGAAAATTATACCCTTGCAATGAAATTCTTTTTTATTTACATTCTAACATTTCCAAAAAACTTTAAGGTTATCATCAGTAAATACAAAACAGATGATGTAACCTACTACTTAAGGGTTTTAAGACTTATTACAATGGAGGAGGTACTTTTTATATTGCCTATAAAAGTCATGCTTTGCCCTAAAACTTCATTGACATATGCTTCCTGGAGTTTAGAAGTGCCTCATAAGTCTTCACTAACTTACCCCTTTACTGTCCTTAACATTTCAGTTCCCATCTCTCCAAGATGCCCAGATGCCAAAGTGTGAAATTGGTAGAAATATCCCTAAACAAAAGCCCCATGCCAATATCCTGAGGTAGGCCTCAGACCCCCCTATACACACCTCCTTCACTGTGAGCTATGTTAGTTGAAAGTGTTCCCTGGCTGTCATGCCTTTAAACAGAAAGCTCCTCCTGATACCAGGGTTCAAAGTAGATGACAAAGGTTATGGGGAAGGAACAATAGGATAACAAAGCAGCTCAGCCTCTGGTCAAGTAAAATCTCTATAAAGACCAAAGAAGAACCGGCTCCTATAGTGTGTAACAGGGATATGAATGAATTTTAGATGATCACACAGAAGAAAAAGGTCAACTGGTAAGTGGGATATAGTGACACACACCCATCACAGCACTGGAGAGGTAGAGGCAAGTAGATCTGACTTTAAGGACAGCCAGAGCTACATCGGAGGGAGGGAGGGAGGGAGGGAGGGAAGGAGGGAGGGAGGGAAGGAGGGAGGGAGGAAGAGGAAGTCAGCAATAAAGCAAGGACACTAAAGTGGAGGGAATTTATATCGGATGTGAGACTGGTTTCAATAAGCTTCAAAACCACTTCTTACCGTTTTTTCAAGACAGGGTTGAAGGTCTGGAACTCATTATAAGGCCCAAACTGGCTCCAGTCCCCTCATTCATTTCTTACTCCTAAGATGCTAAGGTCTCTTCACAGAGGGTTCCTGCTGATATTTATTAAGACCATACTAGTGTTCACTCTGACTTAAAAACCTTTGGAGCGAATGGCAAAGACAAACATCCAAAGGTAACCCTCAGTATGTGGAGCCACTCAAACATGGTCCAGGCCAGCTATGCACCACAGGCTAACATCTGCTGTCACTGGGGCAACTCCTCACCCGACTCTCTCCCATCTTAGTATTGGCTCCCCTTTCCCCAGTTTACAAATGTATAAACCTCAAGAAGGCTACTTACTCCACAGCCCAAACTCCAACCACTGCAGGTCACTTGGCTCCTTGAAGACATTAAAGTTGTCCCCATTTAGGCACAGTAGCAAGACCTGCCTATAGTCCCAACTGCTCAGAGGCTAACACAGGAGGATCACTAGGGGCCACAGGTCAGGTAGGCAACAATCTCAAACAAAACAACAGAACTAAACAAAATCCCTCAAAATTCCTAGAACCCCTTTAATAGGTGAAGACACTATTGACATAGACCAGCCCTGGCTGGCCTGGAACTATGTAGAGCAAGCTAGCCTAGAATTCAGAGATAAACCTGCCTTTGCCTCTTGTGTGGGAACCAAAGCATCTGGCTGGGTCTCTTCTTTAAGGTATGATTGACTACAGGCTGACAAGGAGTTAGATATAAGGAAACTAGGGGAAAACTTAAGCTGCACATTGATAGCTGCATCTCTTATTAAAGTGCCCCTTTGTGTGGTTTAACAGTCTCGAAGCTTCAATTAGGCTGTTCTTGCTGTATCAGAAACTAAGGTAACAGAGAACTTTCTCACACATGTCTGCATCTTCAAAAGATCTGATATCATTATAGCATCAATTGCATTGTGATTTTGACATCTCCAGCTTTGGGAGGGGGAAAGGAGGTCATCTCACTCCATGAATAGTCTATTACATCATAAATATTCAGGAAAACTTTAATGCAGAATGATGAACTGGCTGCCTATTACAATCTTTTTTGGTAGTGTTAGCTTGGCTTAGCTTAAACTGACTCTTGAAACACCCAAAAGAATTAAAACTGTGACTGCTAACGTTACTAAAAAGATAACTGTTGTTAAATTTCAAATATTTGTACTATTTTCTCTCTCCTTTTGGGGGGGGGGAGAGACACAGGATCTTATAGCTCAGGCTAGCCTCAAACCCTCTGTATAGATAAGGATGACACTGAACTTCTGATCCTGCCTCCACCTCGCCAGTGCAGGGATTACAGATATGCACCACTACACCAGATTTATGCAGTGTTAGGGACGGAATTTGAGGCTTCCTGCATGCTAGCCAGCCCTTCCTATTATGTTATATATATTTTAGTTATCAAATTTTCCAATGGAAGCCTGACATTATAGTTTGTAAAGTTTGCTTTTCACTTCGGTAAACAATTAAAAGGAGAGTTCCAGTAACTTCATGGCATCAATTTTATCTCTGGGAAAAATTAATATGGTAAAAGAATGTCTACTGAAGTCCAATTCAAATTTCCTGCAAAGTATAACAGACATTTTATTGCTGGTTGTGCTAACCTAATTGCTAAGTAAGTGTTCCTAAAAAGGCACCAATTAAATATGTAGCACTTAGTTATCAACAGGATCATCAATTAACAATTTACTCAACAAAAAGTGTCATGTATTTTGCTAAGTACTAGATGCATAATGATTTGTAAAAATAATTCTGCCTGTCTAAGCTGATACTGTACTTGTGAGGCTAGACATTGATCAAACAATCACATAAGAGAGTAATTACAAAGTGAGTTAAAAGCTATAAAGGAAAAGAACAAAATATAAAGAATCTGTCATAGAATGGCATTAGGAAACGAGAAAGGCATGCTCTGGCATAGACTCTGCATGACTGGGGGTGGGGAGGAGGAATATGAGGGGCAGACATTCGATATTTGAGAGAAAGGCCTGGAGATGGTAAGCCACACTGTCAGAGAAAATGGTAGGCCAGTGTGTCAAGACCACAGAGAACTAGGAGGCCCAGGGATAAGAAAACCATGACAAGTATCAGAAAGGTTTCTGGAAAAGGGTTTCCACCACTATTGTAACTTGCAAATTATAAAGCAAGCCATATTTTTGTTATTACTACTCAGTCCAAAGTTTTCTACATAATTTTTCTATTGGATACTAAACAACTATTGAAAATAGGAGTCAAATCCCAGGGCTTCAATCCAGTGCTTTTGCTCCTACACCATGCTGTCTAGGTCACTGTCCTGAACACATAACTACTGTTTCATGTTCTTTATTCAGCACTTACTATATACCAGGCACTATACACTCTTTACTTTCATAAACTCATTTAACCCTCAGTTCTGGAGGGAAGGTTCTATTATTGCTCACATGAGACTACTAAGGCTCAAAAACAGCTAAGTAACTTGCCCCAAATCACACTGCTGAGTAAACTGAACTATTAATCACAATGGTTTACTTCTATTTTGTGTGCATCCTGAATTGGAAAAGAATTTACACACAGGGACTAACGGGCACATACTTAAGGATCCATGTCTTAGACATCTTCATGTTCGGGCCTAGTGCTAGAATATCAGTGGAGCTCAGAAAATATGACAGCTTCAAAGGGACATAAAAAGCCGACAAAGGCTTTAAATCTGGAAGCGATTTTCTGAAGCTCTCCCTCCAAGCCAGGCATTCATGTCCAAAGACTTCCCATCCCATCTTCAAGCCTGCTCTCTGGAACCCTGCTCTTTTCATGAACTGGATTGAGAAAAGCCTGCCTTCCCTGTCCTCCAATCTAAACTAATGCCCTCACGACTTTTTCAGCACATCATCCAGTTTCTTCCGTGGAACTGACCACCCTGAGCCTTTGTCACACACACACACACACACACACACACACACACACACACACGGAGGGAATGGCCAGCTTCATCTCCCGATGTATCCATCCCTAATGCCTAAAACTAAGTATATCTGTTTAATGAACGATAGGAAGCGAATCACCTCAAGTTTCTCACTCCAGTCATTTCCATATTGTACTCTTCTACATCACCATTTTGGGATGGTAGCTCAATGGTAAAGCCGTCCCCACCACCACAGTAAAAATAAAATATAGCCAACACCACCATTCGCAAATTACTTTGAGCCTCGAAGATTGGCCTGGACTCCATTTTCTGAGAATAATCCCTCAAACAATGCCGAGGAGAGAGGCGCTGTTTGACAAAAACGCCTGCTGTCCCAATTCCACTGACTGAAACTGAGACCGCGAAGAGACTCCGTCCAGAACCGTGAGGAAAACGCGAACCCGGAAGAGCATCCGTGTGCCGACGAGCTCTTCCCTCCAGGCCGCGCCAAGGGTTCAAAAGGCATCCTCAGCTTCCCAGCCCGAGACCCACCCAGCTCCTCAGAGAGGTTGGCCCGGCCGGCCGCACGCCCCTCACTACGGCCCCCCTGCCGGGACCTCCCTCTCCCGTCCGGGCCAACCAGCACAGCCCCGGGGCGGTGCCGTAGGCCGCGGCCCTCCCGTCGGGGGGCGATTGGCCAGCCCGGCCGTCACTCAGGAGGTCGCGCCCTGCCCACGCCTCCCTCCCTTCCACTCCACCCTCCCAGTCCGGAAAAACGGCGGTTGGGCCAGGGAGGCAGCCAACGGCAGGCGGGGAGCTCTGGGATGAGGAGCGGGGAGCACAGGAAGAAGCGGACAGGGCAGGCCAGGCGCGCGGAGGGGAACCCGGCCGGCCAGCGCCGCGGGGACAAGATGGCGGCGCTGGCGGAGGGCCAGGCGTGAGGCGGGGCCGCGGACATTCCCCTCCGCCCCCGCGGCGCGCGGCCGGCCCGGTCAAGACCGCGGCTCGCAGGCCTCGGCCGCGGGCGCGGAGGGGAGTGGAGGGGAGGGGAGGGGAGGGCGCGGCCCGGCCCACTATGCAAAGCGCCCGCCGCCGCCGCCACCGCCCCGTGGCAAAGGTAAAAGGCCGCGTTCGGCCTCCGCGGCCTCCATGGCGGCGCAGGCCCGCCCTCTGCCGCGGCCCGGCCCGGCCCTGCCCGGCGGGCTTGCTCTTACCTCGGGGTCGGGCGCCACAACAGCCGCGGAGTAGGTCCCGTGTCTGCGGCGGGCGCCCCCGGCACGGAGGGCAGGGCGCGGGGCCGGGCCGGGCGCCGGAGGGCAGGAGCCTGGGGGCTCGGGCGGCCGGGACGCCGCGGCGGGTCGGTGTGGAGTGGGGCGGCGGGCCGGGCCCTGGCGCCGCCGGGGTCGCGGAGGGACCGCGCTTTGTTATTGTTTTTGTCAGTGAAAGGTCAGAGTTCGTGACCCCGGTGCCGCTGCCGCCGCCGCCCGCGCGCTGGGAGGAGGAGGGCGAATGTTGCTCTTCCTCTTCCCGGCGCCAGCCTCACCGCGGCGGCGGGGGGCGGGCGAGCACGCGATTGGCTGAGCGCGCGCGTGCACCGGAACGCAGCGGCAGCCGCTGGAGCTGAGGGCCGCAGGCCTGGACCAGGCAGGTGCGGCGGCTCTCGCAGGCTCCGCTTGCTGGCAGAAGGAACGGCCGGTGACTAGCGCCGAGCCGGGAGGTCGCAAGTGGGCAGTTTCCTGGGAGGGCACTAGGCTCCCGGTACCTTCTTCGGGGTGGATGGTAGATTTTATGTTTTGAAGCTCCGGGGATGCTCCGGGCCGGACCAGGCAAGAGTGCGGATGCCCCAGACCTGTTCATTGAGGGGTCCCTGCCCTCCCGCCCCCCCGATTTGTGTAAAGCAGTTTCGGCATGCACTCATTGCTTTATGGAAAGCCTCTGGCCCCTTGATCTCACAATTTCTGGGTTTTGTTTCTCAAGTTAGTTTTGGTTGGGCTTGGAAGTTGCTGGCGTTCCTCCGTGCCTGCCTGCAGTGTTGAGCCATTCCCCTTGGTTACTGTCCTGTGTAGATTGCAGATACTCTACCAATTACCCTGATCATCCCTCTCCCTTCTTGCTCATTAGAAATAAATGCTTCAAGATAAATAGCTTAACAGGTTCTTTCGATAGACATGTAGACTTTTATCGGGGTGATTCCAACTCGGAGTATTCTGCCCATGATCTTAATTGAATTTCTATCGGTTGATATGTATTTTAAACACACTCTCAAGCTCTCCCCCTTGCCTGGGAAAGTGGGGGAGTATCTTTGTGCCCCCAGACCCTGGAGCTGAAAGGAGCCTCCATGGGATCTGATAAACAGATAAGGGAGTTTTCCTCGTTTGTAGGACATATGACTCATAGATCTCAGTAACATGCCTGAGGTAGCCCACATATAAGTCCTTGTAAATATGGAATGCTCTGTTATATATTTTTCCAAGAATTTAAGTTTGTAATGCTAAATAATATTTACAGATACAGTACAAAAATCCACATTAAATGAGGTTTTGGGAGGACCATTACAGTTGTACTAGGTTTACAAATAAACCATAATGAATGCACCCATCTTGACTCTTAGATTTTTCTGTTTTTTTGAGGCAGGATTTCTCTGTAGCTTTGGAACCTCTCCTGGAACTTGCTCTGTTACCCAGGCTGGTCTCAAACTCACAGAGATCCACCTGTCTCTGCCTCCCGAGTGCTGGGATCAAAGGTGTGCACCACTGCTGTTCATCAAATACACTGTCACTTAGACACAGGAACTGGAGCCCACATTAAGTAACCAGCCCAATGCCAGTAAGATCAGTAAGCAAAACCAGGGCTTTTTTCAGCCTTTTGAAGCTACTACTTGGTGAAGTTAGCCACATTTGAGTAGTGTTAAGTAGCTTTTTGGGTAAATTGTAGCGACTTTTCTCTTGAAAATAGCACATGAACACATCTGCACAGATACTTTGTTAGCAGGTAACAGGAGTTTGCTAGCTGAGTTCAACAAGGCTTTGTAACACTTTAATACCTTTTAGAGTCACATACAAAATGGCACCTTGTAAAGAGGATTATATTGGTTATAAGCTTACATGTGGGTCTCTGTTACTGACCCACATTTGAATTTGTAGTGCTTTTATTTAGAAACAATGCCTCACTGTGTAGCTCTGCCTGATCTGGAACTCTATTTTAAAAAGATATGATGATACACTCCTTTAGTTCTAGCACTTGGGAGGCAAAGGCAGGCCAATCTCTGAGGTCAAGGCAAGCCTGGTCTACATAGTTCCAGGACAGGCAGAGCTGTGTAGGGAGAACTGGTCTCAACTCACGGATAGACCTGACTCCTGAGTGCTTCACCACTGCCTTATCTTTGCAGTGCCATTAACATTAATGACCAGCCTTTAATAGAAGGTTTTCTATGTACTTCAGAACTGCCAGGCTTGTCTGTTGTAGCAGCAGCACTTCTTTTAAGCAACACAGGTGACACTGGTGTATCCCAGGCTTAAATCAGAGATCCCACTGCCAAAATGCATGATGTCCTAAATTGGTCTCAAAATTCACTGTGTAGTTAAGGATAGCCTTGAACTTCTGATCCTCCTCTGAAATACAGGAGGATTGCACTACCATGTCCAGTTTAGGTAGTGCTTTGGATGTGTCCTAGGGTTTCTCTTGCTGGGATGAAACACCTATACCAAAAGCAATTTGGGGAGGAGGGTTTTATTTTGCTTGCACTTCTGTATTACAAATCATCATTAAAAGTAGTCTAGGTGGAAACCCAAACAGGGCAAGAACCTGGTGGCAGGAGCTAATGCAGAAGCATACAGGAATTCTGCTTACTGGCTTGCTAAATCTGCTTTCTAATGGAACTCAGGACTACCAGCCTAGGGGTGGCACTATCCCAATGGGCTGGGTCTTTCCACATCAATCACTAATTAAGAAAATGCCCTACAGGCTTGCCTACAACCCAGTCTTATAGAGGCATTTTCTCAATTGTGGTTCTTACAGAGGACACTAGCTTAGGTCAGCTGACAAAAACTAGCCGGCACAGGACGGAACTGTGCCTACTAGGCAAGCACCCTTTCAATTGAGCTACATCCTTAGCCCAAAACAAAATTGTTTAACCTTTCAAAATGTAGTTTTAGGACATTTTTTTGTTTTGTTTTCTAAAATTCTGACAATTTCAGTAGATTGTTCTGTCATGGACTGGGGCTCTGGGAGTGATGTGTGAGACAGTACACTTGAATAAAGGTTATCTGAGACTCAGCACACTGTGGGCCCCTGAAAAAATGTACTCTGTCCCTGTCTCTCCACCATGGTGGTGTAGTGTGAATGTGGAGGTTTTCCAACAGCAGTGTGGGATACAACAACCATTTCCGTGCTGTTCCATCTTTACCAAGGACCTCAGGAAAACAAGGTCCAGTGATGCTCCTGAGCTGGGATGTGAGCCTGGGTCTTCTGGCTCCCTGCACAGGGCTCTATGGGTGAGTGGTTCTCTGACTTAGTGGTTCCCTGAGCAGGTCTTTTTCATGGTACCAATACAATTTGTGGTCAGTGATTGATTGGCTCATCTGTGGCCTTAAGAGCAGGAACTGTAACTGTTGTTTCATCATTGACCCTAACACACAATAAACACCATTTGATGTTATTTTACACCTACATCTAAATGAAAATTCTGGCAGTGAACATAATTAAGTTACTGTTAAGGAGCAGACACTGCTTTTCCGCATACTGCTTTTGTGGTAGTATAAGCAGCAGATCCAGGCCACAGTGCAGCTAGCAAGTAATGCAACCCAGGTTCCCTCCCTGCCCCCAGCGCTGCAGGAAGTACTTTCCCTTTTTTAAAAAGCTGATAGCATCTGTATTTTCTTAGAGGGAAGGCTTAATAATTACCTTTCATAAGCATGTAGGAATGTAGGTTTTCCTGTAATGGCTTATGCTTTATTACTATAGTGATCATTTCATCAGAGTTCTCTTCATGTCACTTGTATAATTATTACATGCTTGCAAAATAAACATGAAGCTCATGTAGCTGTTGTTAGGATATTGTTAAGAACATGAAATTAGAACAGACAGAATGAATAGAAGACTGCATGTTCCTGGCATGTTTATACTGCTTCATCTTACAACACTCTTCTGAAGCCTATGGCATTGTCCTGTTTTTACAGCTGGAGGGCCAAGACCCAACACAGGGAGGATGACTTCCCCAAAGTCACGTGCTGGCAAGTGAAACACTTACTGATAGTTATTTCTGCCCTTGAAGACCCTTCCTGTTTCTGTCAGAATCAGAGTCAGCCTCTGTCAAGGCTACTTGGGCAGGTCACAACTTCTGTTTGAGTAGTCATCTGGTGATGCCTCTCCCTTGGCCTCCCAAGTACTGGGACTACACACATGCACCACCATGCCCAGCTCAAAACATTATTTTAACATTTGCAACTCTCAT